GCCATTTGCCATTACACATAGTAATATAGCAATAAGTGTACGAAACCCCGTTGCCATTCCCATAGCTTTCATAAGTGAACGAGGTTGAAGAAAAACGTGGTTTTTGTGAATATACAAATCGTAGTCCACTAAAATTAGTTACAAAAATATGATACGGCATTGGATTTCGAGAATTATTCATAAATTAAAAATAATGAAGTATTTTACATGGACCTTAAATTAATAGTCTGTCACTCGAATTTATATTTGTTTAATGTTAGTGGATCATTAATTTCAATCGTACTAAGAAAATTCAAATGTTGCTGGAATTTCACTGGAACGATTTTACAGTTTAAATTAGGTATTAAACGTTTAACAACTGTCTATCCTACACATGTTACACGTCATACTACGAAAAAGAACACAAACGATCTTACTTAGTTCCAGACAAACATCAAATCGCTTGTCTTGCAGCGAATTAAGAAAAAAATATTAGCAGTAATAACAGTGGAAACAGAAACAAAACAATTTGCATTAGCAAACAGAAGCTTAATTGATTAATTAGAGCAATACCACAAATGAAAACAAATGTTTGCTATACTTCCGGCTATATTGTTTCCAATTTGCCTGAGAGCGTTTATAAACGTAGGCATATTTAGATTGTATCATAACATTCGTTTTTCATCAAGACGATGGAGTTGGGGTGAAAACTGATATGCACCCTTAATTATTAGAGGCTTTCACAAACCGAATGTAAAATCTTAATAGCATCGCATCATATATCAGGAATATGTATGGGTGTATAACTGTATAGGGTTTTTAAGAATCTGTAAGAGTTTTAAGAGCCTTCAAAGGGGGCTAAGAGAATGTTTAAGATAGAGTTTCTCAAATAGGGATTTAGAAATTTAAGTCTTTGTCTTTTTTCGTATCTATTTCCAATCCTTTATTAATTTCAACTTCACTTCTAAATCACTTTTCAATTCATTTTAACTTTGTTTATAATCTGTGGTAGTGAACGACGAACATTTTTGTATAGAGAAATACAACACCCGCACGTTGAATTGATTTGTCCTCGACCGCGTATGGTTGTATTGTAATTTATGCGACGTAAATCCGCTTAATCCACGTTACAGCTTTTTATTTTCTATAACTGCAGTATAATCTCTTCTTCTTTGTAACAAACACGTTTAATTATGTTATATAATGTACATGTTTACAAGCGCTAATATCCGAAATAAAAACTTGATTATATGCCAAATTTGTTCTCATAGATTCGTAATTAATGCTTGAACGAATTTTATTGGCGCAACAGACGTTTTCCCCTTAGGTGTATTTTTACCGAATCTCTTGAAAATAGGTATACTTTTTCAGCTTCGAGGCCCAAAACCGAATGCTTTCAAAAATCTCCCCGGAATAATCTCTACCCACTATTTGTAAATTAATTTACGCCATTTTCAAAACGTGATCTAGTAATGAAGTGGAACACCTTTTTAAAAAACAAATTTGATTCGTTATGCCTCCCGATTTACACGTGAGTTAAAGTCGTAAATTACCATCATACGCTATTT